CTGAAGATTCATTCAACCCGTGGTGGAGATCGGGAGGGGTAAATAGTCGTTTTGGGATCGGGACGGAAGGCGGGGCACAGTTGGGGAGAGAGGGAGGTGGGTAGGGAGCAGGAGCAAAATGGGGGGAAAGCCGGGGGAACCGCTGGGGGGAGCAGAGTTGGGAGGTGGGCGGGAGGGGAAGACACACAACAGGCGTGTCACACTCGTAGTGCCCCCCCTCCATCGTATACGTTCTCGGCCGTCCCTTCGTCTCTCTCTCTCTCTCTCTCTCCATCCAACTCTGCTACCCCCGGCTCCTCCCGCTGCACCTTTTCCACAGTGCTCCCATTTCGCCCCGGCCCGACCGTCTCGCACCGCTTGGCCTGCGCACCCCGCCCGCGTCAGCCTGCTGCAGCTGCTCGGCCGTGTGTACCTCCATCGGCCCGTTCCCACCTGGCCCCGGCTCCTCCCCTGCGTCCTCTGGTTTCGCACCGGCTGCGCCGCGTCGCACCGTTTTGGCCCCCGCGCGGCCCGTCGGCCCGTTCCTCCCTGCCCCCGACTCCTCCCCCTGTGCTGCCTCACACCAGTTCGGCCCGCCCCGCCCACCTCGCACCGTTTCGTTGGCCTCCTGCATCGTGCTGCTCGGCCGCTCCCCCCAGGGCCCGTGGGCCCGCTCTGCGCTTTTCCAACACTGTGCACGAGGGCTCGCGTGGGACACTCACGCGAGACCCTCTATTTCCTTTAGAGTATTAGAGATAATAACAACAAGTATCAATGAATGAACCAGAATCAATGTCCAAATCCTCCACTTACGGCCGGCCTCTCAAGAAGTCCTCCGCCTCCTCTTCCTCACCCTCCTCCTCCTCCTCCTCCTCCTCCTCCTCCTCCTCCTCCTCTTCTTCTTCTTCCTCGTCCTCCTCGTGTTTAGCAGCGGGCCCTCCATTAATCCCCAACCCTTCCCCTCTTTTTACCATTTCTTTTTGTTTTTGCTCAGAATGGCTTGATTTTTTTTTGTGGGGGGTCCCCTACCGTCTTCACCCGAAAATAGCGCCCGGGCGTTATAATCAGTAAATTGGTGGCAACTTTGGTGGGGCCCCAAAATTCCGGAAAAAAAAAAAGTTCAAAAATTCTGTTAAAAACATATGTTGTCCAGAATTGCATTGCGACCATCTTTTGGCTGAGGGCCACTACAGAATTCCTTATAAACTTGGAAATAAAAAAAAAAAAAAACAAATCAATCTGAAATATGGCCCTTGGAAGTCAAAACCCCTTTCAACCCCCTTTAAAACTCATGTATATCCCCCTCCCCGCCCTTTCAAACGCATGTATACTACCTCTACAAGGTACTCTGCGCATGGAACATTCAAATATACAGACCGGGTGCTCTATTCGAATATAGCGCCCGGGCGTTATATTCGAAGGGGTGTTCTATTTGAGAAAAAGAGAGTAAAAACGAAAATCTGATCTTTTCATGGCAAAACCGTAAGTTGAATATAGCGCCTGAGCGTTATTTTTGGTTGAAGACGGTAGTGGTGCGCAGACCCCCCTCAAATTTTTTTAAATTTTTTTATTTTTTTTCATTTTTTTTTCATTTTTTGGCCGAAAAGCTCTTGTCCGGAATCCTGGAGAACTTCCCCCTGACTGTCTCCCGGAGACATCAGCGGGAAACGTCTCGGGATCGGACAGCTGGCAGCCTAGGAAAATTAGTGTCGAGGAGGTCAAATCTGGACACCTGTTTCGATCCTTGGTGCCATGCTCTAAACCTGCTCTGGAATGGAATTCGGGGCTATACTGACGAAGTTATCCTCTGTCCTTTGCTCATATTTGCTTCGTTATATGGTGCCAAATGATGCCATTTGAAAACATAATTAATGAACTCCAGTGAAGTCTGAAGAGTCACTGAAGGTGTTGACTGTCTGTGGTATCCTCCTTTTCTCCGCAGTTTTCAAACAGGATGATCCTGCAGAGTCGTTCTACGTCATTCTAAATGGCCTTGTATCCATCCACGTTGCTGATCCAAAGACCAAGCAATCAGGTATGGAGCTGTGTAAGTTTAACCTCACTGCAGCTTTGCCCTCTCAGGGATTGTTTGTGTATTGTCAAAGAAGCCCAAACTCTCTCCTCATTCCATCCACAAATCATCCAAAAACCATCCATAAACCATCCATAAACTATCCATAAAATAAGGAAGGTATAGATAGGCAATATAATAGAAGATGCAAGGTTGGCCACGTTTGTGTGGTTAAACCACCCATACTCGCTCAGCTATCAAGTCCGAGGCTCTGTCTACCGGTAGCCTGATCATTCCCGAGCCTCGGACTTTATTGCCGAGCCTTGAACAACTGGTAATACATAACGGAAAAAAGAAAAAAAGAAAAAACACGAAAAAAAACAAACAACATTCTGCAAAAAAAAAAGAAAAAAAGAAAAGGAAATCAGACATGCTTAACGAGAATGAATCTTCCTCGATAAAGAGGACGATTCATTCTCATTATCGAGGAAGATTCATTCTCATGGGAGGTTCAGAGAGAGAGAGAGAGAGAGAGAGAGAGAGAGAGAGAGAGAGAGAGAGAGAGAGAGAGAGAGAGAGAGGGCATCAGAGAGTCTGACGCCGAG